GGGGTGCAGCAGGCAGAGCTGAGCCTGGGAGGGCACAGCCAGCTCCCCCCTCGCTGCCTCCTCACAGACTGGCGCGGGGAAGACCTACACCATGGGCACCGGCTTCGACATGAACATCTCCGAGGACGAGCAGGGCATCATCCCGCGGGCCATCGGCCACCTCTTCAGCGGCATCGAGGAGCGCAAGCGGGCGGCGCAGAGTCAGGGCGTGGCAGCACCCGAGTTCAAAGTCAGCGCCCAGTTCCTGGAGGTAGGTGCCAGCAGGGCTGGGTGACACTGTGGCCCTGCCCTGTCCTTCACTCAGCTTCCGTGTCTCACGCTCCTCAAGTCCTCCGTATCCTGGCTGCTCCCCAGCTGAGCTGGACCCCGCAGCAGGCGTGTGGCCGGGGGTACGTGCTAGGGCAGATGAGACTTAAAGCACCTGAATGTTGTTGACCTCATGATGGCCACAAACTGGGGTGCCATTTTATTGGCTGCAGGGAACCCCTGCCATGGGGAAGGGGCTTATGCCTTGATCCCCTGGAGATTCAGGGGGCTCAGGTCTCGCTTACTCCTGTATGAGATCAAGGATAGCGGCATACCTGCTCCCCTGGGTCTGGACCAGTGTTCCCAGTGAAACAAGGAGAGGAAAAAGTGCCATTCTTGTGGGGATTTGAGGGAGGGCTATGTTATTTCCCATGTCTTCTGCTGCATCTTTGACCTTGAAAATGCTTCATTGCGTCCTCTCCCGCCTCTGCTTTGGCCTCTCCATTTCAAAAGCCTCTTCTATTAACTGCTTCTTTCCCTGGAGAAGCTTGTCCCAGAAAGCCTGTAGACCTTGTGTGTCTGTGGTGACTTGCCTGGGGACTGGTCTTGGGGTGAAAGTGCCAAGAAGTTCAAAATGGGAATGGGTTTAAGGCCTTGGTGAGAAAACACAGGGTGGTGTTGAACAAAGCTCAGCTTCTGAACAAAGTTCACCTGGTTGGTGTCTGAATCTGGGGTACAGCCCAGAGGAGACAGGCAGGCAGAGAGAGAGGCCCCATGCTGTGATTTTTGCCTCCACGTGTCTTTGGTGGTCATCATGTCAGGATTCCTCCAGGTACAGATGGCCTAGAGAGGGGAAGAAGGGCCCAAAGTCACCTCCTAGCCTGGAGGGCTGACCTCCTTGTTGGAGAAGTCCTTCCCAATCAGCTTTCCATCTGCAGACCCCTTGTTAGCTCCCATGGTGCTGCCGTGCCTGGCCACATCCTTCCCTCCCCGCCACTCGGCCCGTCCGAGCTCCTGGCTGCCTTCCCACGCATCCTTGGCCTCATGGGGCCCTGCTCTGGGGAACCTGGGGGCTGGGATGGAAATGGGGACAATTTCCTGCCTGTTCTGAAATCACTCTGGGGGATAAACCTTGACAGGCGTTCCCCCACTGGAAAGTCCCCTAACCGTGTTGGGCCTGGGCATAGTCCTGCCTTCCCTGGGCTGTAGGATCGGATACTGACCTTCAGCCCAATGCATGTCCCCTCACCCTACGTGATACACTTTCCCTTCCCTTTCAGCCCAACGTATCTGCCCTCTAGGAGATCCTCTGCTGTCCAGCTGTATTTTCTCTTGCCTCAGTTTCTCCCACTCAGTTTGGGATGACCCGACAGTGCCCCAAGGAGCTGGGTGACCTGTTAGCTGGGGTTGGGACACGTGAAGGACGAACACTGGGAGGGGGATGCCTGTACTGCCTCTGTCCCAGGCCATCCTAGGAAGCACCTCTGCAGACCAAGAGGTCCAGCGCAACCCCAGAGGCACTTGGGGGTGATGGAGCAGTGGCCCTGCATGGGGTCACACCAGCTGCCATGGGGATTTCCTGCAGCCTTTCTCTTTCTTCGCCACCTCTGACCCCTGGTGGTTTTGGCTCTCAAAATAGCCTCAGATATGTTTGTCTGGTGGCTGCAGTGGAGGATGGGAACGAGACTTCCTCTGCTGTGTTTCAAAGCCACTCATGGTCACGATCCTCAGGCCAGCTGTGCCCAGCGGGACACTGGCAACTCCAAGGTGGGGGGGCTGTCTGCCAGCTGGTGGGGCGTGAAGGCTTTCAAGGGCCCTGTTATGTGTGGGTAGAGTAAAAACCCATTGCTTGATGGCCCAGGGACCAAGACTGTTGCAGCCTGTCAACAGCTTTACCCGGTGGTCCACCCTGCAGGCATGGACATCAAACCAGGAGCTCTTGTGCCAGCTGCGCTGAGACCTCTCCTACAGCCACCCTTATCCAGGCGACCCAGGGAGGGTTTTGTGGCAATAATGGCTCTCCTGTGCCAGCATGGGCACGTGGCTGCATCAGGCGCTGGTTTCCAACCCTGCTGTCCCAGCAGTGGTGCAGGATTTGGTTCTGCTGATCCCCATCCTGTGACTCTCCTCCTGGGCACAGGCAGTCAGAGTGGGGTTTAAACCCTCAGGGAGTCTGTTGGTACCTGGGGTGGCCAGGGACGGATTAGCCTGATCCACTCTGCTGGCCAGGAGCCTGTGGTCCTTGGGTGACCCTGCTCTCTGCACTGGGACGTGGGTGCGAGAGGGTGACTGTGGCATTGAGCGGTAGTGGCGGGGAGACAGACAGGCAGGGCTGTCCCTGTGTCCCAGTGTGACAGAGGATGCTGCAGAGTGGAGGTACAGATGAGGACATCCTCTGTCAGCTCTGGGTCCTCAGAGTTCTCCCTGCTTGTCCAGCACTCCCTGGTTCCCTCCCCCTTGTCCCTTTTCCACTCGGCAGAGTTGGCCTCAGGGAGCTGCGGTGGGAAAGGGGCTCCGCTGGCTCGTGTGGCCAGGGGGTCCCTGGGCGAACAGGGAAGGCTGGGGGATGTGTAGCTCCCGGGTGTCCACGCGGGCTCTGGGAACCGGACTCTGAAGGTCTCCTGGTTCCCACACAGCTGCTTGTGTGGGTCAGGGCCAGGACAGGGTCGGGCAGCTGGAACCAACCCAAACTGCAGCTCAGAGCCTCGCAGGGCAGGCAGGCACATGTATGCACACTGGTGCACATGCATGCATGCCTGTGCACACGTGTGCACACACACACCACCCTTGGGCATCCTGTCCTAGTGGGGTACCCGTGCATACATGTGCAGGTCAGAGCTTGTCTGTGCATCAGCTCCTATCTGCACACGCATGCTTGTGCGTCCTCTCCTGGTCAGCCTTGCCCAAGCACACACATGTGCACATACATGTAAACACAGACCCATCTCCAGCGGTGTGGCCTGTCCTCCTGGCTCTCAGGACAGCGGCAGCAGGGTGGCAGACGGCAATTCCCATCAGTCCCACTGTGCCGGGCTCTGGCATCCTCCTGCTTCCTACTGTTAACTTCTGCCCTGCTCAGCTCTACAATGAGGAGATCCTGGACCTGTTTGACAGTGCCCGCGACCCTGATGCACGCCACCGCAAATCCAACATCAAAATCCATGAGGATGCCAGCGGGAGCATCTACACCACGGGGGTCACGTCGCGCCTCATCAGCTCGCAGGACGAGGTAGGTGCAGGATGGGGCAGACATGGAGGAGGGACGGCAGCTGGGTGCCCACTGGCCAGGGATGTGCTACGTGAGGACATCCAGGCAGGGGAGGGTTCTCGCCCGGGATGGGACAGAGCAGCCCTGGGGTGATGCTGGGGTGCCTGCTGGGCTGCAGCAGGGTGCTGTCCTGCCTCCCTAGGAGCATGCTTCAAGGTTTCGTTCTTCCCTGCCCTGTGTCGTTATAGCTGATCCAGTGCCTAAAACAGGGGGCTCTTTCCCGCACCACCGCCAGCACCCAGATGAACGTGCAGAGCTCCCGGTCCCATGCCATCTTCACCATCCACCTGTGCCAGATGAGAGTGTGCACCCGCCCGGAGCTGGTGAGACATGCTCCTGCCTCATGGCTCTTCCTGGGTCTGGTACCCAGGTGGTGTGGGTGGGTCCCGTGGAAAGGGGAGAGGATTTGAAGTCTTGCAAAGAGAGGCAGGGCTTTGTCGTCTTCTCAGTCGTAGCCAGCGTTACTACTTAATGGGAGCTGAGGTCTGCCTTGGAGTAGCCCCATCCAAGGCAGGGATGGTCTGGCCCAAGGGATGTCCCAGAGCAAGCTGCTGTTGGGATCCTCTCTCCCATCCTTGAGTGGCTGGACGCAGAGTGTGAATGCTCAGGTGTTTGCTGACGTCTGAGTGCGGCCAAGGGCACTCCCACCCGCTCTGGGTCTGTGGCGGTGACCCTCTCCATCTGTGCCTGGCCGCAGGTGAATGGGGAGGTGACCAGCCTCCTGGACGGAGCCCAGCCCACCACCGAGTACGAGACCCTCACGGCCAAGTTTCACTTCGTAGACCTGGCTGGTTCAGAGAGGCTGAAGCGAACGGGTGCTACTGGCGAGAGAGCAAAGGAAGGCATCTCCATCAACTGTGGGCTGGTACGGCCCTGGGCACCAGTGTGCAAGGGGAGGGGGGAAGCAGGGCCTGCCTGGGGGAGTGTGGGACACCTTTGGGTCCTGCTTGGAGCCGCTCTGGGCTGTTGGGGTTGCTGCTGTCTCTGCTGGGGTTTATGCTGCCTGGCCCTGTAAGGGAGGATATGCATAATCCAAAGTACCAGTGGTGAGGGCACAGCTCTGCTGCTGTGGGGAGGGGTTACAGCTGGACACAAGGGTGCAAGTCCTCCAAAGGTCAAAGGCTGCTAACTGGAGCTTAAAGAAATATCTAGGGCTTGATGCTGCCCCTCAGTGCACGTGGGAGAAATGCACAGCCCAGGGAAGGGGGGTGAATGCTGAGACTGGCAAGGGAAGCCCCATGCCTCCCCCTCTTGCACCCCAAACCTGTGCCACAGCACATGCCCCAGGCCTGACATGGTGGCTACGTGACAGCTGAGGCTGAATTTGGCGGGGGCCTTTCCTTTGTGTTGGTAGCTGGCCTTGGGGAACGTCATTAGTGCCCTCGGAGACCAGAGCAAGAAAGTTGTGCACGTGCCCTACCGTGACTCCAAGCTCACCCGCCTGCTGCAGGATTCCCTCGGGGGCAACAGGTAAGGGGGGTCCCAGGCTAAGGCTGAGCCCTGGGAGAGGCCTGCAGGGGCTGTCCCCCTGCAAATAGGGCTGAGGGTTTATGGAGCCATGGAGGAGCTATTTCAGGACTCAGATGCCTTTTGGGTTGCCTGGTGGGGAGGAGATGCCTCCTGGCAGGCAGTGCATGACGTTGCAGATATAAAGACCTTGGCTTCTAAGTCCCAGGTGCAATTAGCCAGCTTTGGCAGAATTAGCTGGTGCAAAACACTCTGGAGCCCTTGCAGGTCTGGGACTTGGCAGGTGGTGTTGCCCAGCAGGAGGTGGATTGAATTCCCTGCCTGCTTTGGGGGTACTTCTCTGAAGAGCCCGTTCTTCTGCAGCAATCCTGGCATGTGTGGGCTGGCTGGTGGAGGTTGGCTTTGCTCAGTGCTGTGTGATGTGTTGCTTGTGGGGTCTTACTGGTGCTCTGGCTGTGGGAGGGACTGAGCCCAGTTTATACCTAGGTTATAAAACACAGAAGGGGCTAGGATGGATGTCTGGGGGCACGTGGCCTGTGCTGAGTCCCAGATTTCCAGGTGCGGTGTTGGTGCAGGGTGGGAGAAACTGTCCTTTCATCCTCACCTTCACCTCCCCAAGCCAAACCATCATGATCGCCTGCGTGAGCCCATCCGACCGGGACTTCATGGAGACCCTGAACACGCTCAAGTATGCCAACCGGGCTCGCAACATCAAGAACAAGGTGGTGGTGAACCAAGACAAGACAAGTCAGCAGATCAGTGCCCTGCGGGCTGAGATTGCCCGCCTGCAGATGGAGCTGATGGAGTACAAGGCGGTAGGTGGCCCAGCAAGCCTGCAGAGGTGGGATGGAGGCAGGAGCAGAATGCCTCCTCCTCATGTTTGAATTGGGGTGGGTTTATCAGGAAAGACCCTCCTGCCTACCATGCTCTGCCCCTGTTCATAGGGGTAATTGCTAGGAGAGGTCAGGGGGCTTAAGAGATGGGGGCTCAGCTCCTACCCTGCTACAGGCAGGACCTTGGGCAAATGTCTTGGGGATGCTAAGGCAGGGAGAGGCCTTGAAGCATCTCTTACCCTCTGCCTGTTGAGCTCAGGCCTTCCTAGTCCATAGACTTGTCCCGCCCCTGCTTTGGTGGCTGGGGCTGTCCCCAGGGATGCAGTGGTGGGCCCTCATGTCCCAGTTTGCCCTGCACTCAAGGACTCTCCTCTTATCCACACAGGGCAAGCGGGTCATTGGGGAGGATGGCTCAGAGGGCTACAGCGACCTTTTCCGTGAGAACGCCATGCTGCAGAAGGAGAACAGCGCCCTGCGCATGCGGGTGAAGGCCATGCAGGAGGCCATCGATGCTATCAACAGCAGGGTCACTCATCTCATGAGCCAGGAGGCCAATCTGATGCTGGCCAAGGCAGGTGAGGCTGGGCTAGTGCGTGGCGTGGTGGGTCAGTCTGGCCAGTGTAGCTGGGATGGGTGCTGCGGTATAGCCCGTGTCTTGCCTTGGTCCACCCGTGCCTCTGCTCCTCCAGGTGACGGGAATGAAGCCATTGGCGCCCTCATCCAGAACTACATCCGGGAGATCGAAGAGCTGAGGTGAGCTGGGCATGGGGGCTGGTGAGTCACCTGGGTCCCTGGGCCAGCAGGTGCAATGGTGGGGTCTGAGCCCACGTGTGGCTCGCAGCTCCGTGCCCCCAGCATCACTGGGGTGAGTGGTAGGCCCTGATGGAGAAGCAGCTGACTGCATCGCAGCTACGCTGGGCCTGTAGGAGTCCAAGCGTTGGTGCTGGGCAGTGCTTTGGCCATTGTCATCCTCTGTGTGGCCTTTGAGGGAGGGGGAAATCCCAGGGACTGCTGGCACCTCAAAGCTGGGTCCATCCCAGTCTCTTGCGTGATCCTAGGACCTGCCTTGCAGCATCCTGACCTTTTGACCCAACGTAAATGGGAATGGCTTTGTGGTGACTCTGTCCCTGGCTCACACCATCCTAAAACCAGGCAACATTCCCTCCTCTGAGGACAGTGGGATGTCCCCTCTTTGACCACATCCCATCTCCACTCCCTAGGACGAAGCTCCTGGAGAGCGAGTCCATGAATGAGTCTCTGCGTCGCAGCCTCTCGCGTGTCTCTGCCCGCCCCCCCTACTCTGTGGGCTCGTCCCCAGCGTCTGGCTTGGCTGGGCTGTGCAGCCCTGCTGCTCCCGTGGAGACCGAGGCCTCCGATGTCCTCCGGCGGGCCAAGCAGGACCTGGAGCGCCTGAAAAAGAAAGAGAGGAGGCAGCGGAGGAAAAGGTGAAGGCAGCTGCTGTGTTATGTTGGGAAGGGAGAGGCTGTGTGTCTGTCCCTGTCCGTCCTTGTGGGGTCGGGTATCCTGCTTCCCCCATGCGTGCGAAAGCCAGAGCACTGAGACAGAGCCCAGAGGTCTGGGTTCTCCTCCCAGCACTGCCTTGCCCTTGGTCTCTTTTTCACCCACCACGTGATCCTGGAGGCTGTTTTCCCCAAAGGGTCCAAAAGCAGGAGTGGCGGGGGGGGCCGTCAGGACCTGTCCCTGGGCTTCCCCACGCTGGGACTCACCAGCACCTTGCTGCTCTCCCCCAGCCCAGAGAAAGAAGCATTTAAGAAGCGGCAGAAATTGCAGCAGGACAACGGGGAGGAAACAGATGAGAATGAAGTGGAAGAGGTGAGTGGGCTTCGTGTTCATACTGAGGGGGTTGTTTGGGTGTGGAGCATTGTCATCGCCCCACATGGGAGAGGGACCAAGCCCAGCCTGGCCCTGAAAGGAGGTTGGAGGTGTTATGGAGCAGAGGACTCCATGCTGGAGTGTGAGGCAGCTGGATGCTCCCCAGCCAGCCCCGCTGTGGAGAAAGGAGCCTGCATCTTTTGGGGCTTGGTTTCAGTAAGTGTAGGGGAAGGGGATTGGATGATGGAGTGTTATTCAGCTGAGAGGAGGTGGATGAAGGATGGATGGGACACAGAGATGCTCATCTCAACAGTGGGTGTCCAGAAATGGTGCTGCAGCTTCTGGGCATCTTGTGTGGGAGGGTGAGTTCCGTTGTGGGGGCTGCAGCCCATCACTTTGGAGTGAGCTGAGGTTTGGAGGAGAGGATCGCTGCAGAGAGAAGGCCAAGGCCATGCTGCAAGCTGAGGTTAGGCACTTGTCTCTTAGGAGGAGGAGGAGCAGGACGAGAGCGGCTGTGAGGAAGAGGATGGACGTGAGGATGAAGATGAGGACTCTGGCAGTGAAGAGAGCCTGGTGGACTCAGACTCGGATGCAGAGGAGAAGGGTAAAGTGTGGAGCCACACATGCAGCCCAGGGTATGGGGGTGCATTTGCTGATGTCTCCTGGCACTGAGCTCTGGTCCTGGGAAGGGAGAGTCCTCTGGGATGCCCCAGCTGTGTCTCCTATGGGGGGCTTGGAAAAGCACCGGGGTTGCTGCAGGGAGTCTCCAACACTCTTTGGGGTGCTCTCACTCTCCAGCGATGTGGGTTCCCATCGGCTCCCTCTGCCCTCTTCTTGTGCTGTGGCTCAGTGGGGCCGTGGGAGCGATGCTCCTCCATTCATCCCAGCCTGACTGTCCCCCACCGGCCTCCAGCCGTGAATTTCCAGGCCGACCTGGCGGATCTGACTTGCGAGATAGAGATCAAGCAAAAGCTGATTGATGAGCTGGAGAACAGCCAGCGACGCCTGCAGACCCTCAAGCACCAGTATGAAGAGAAGCTGATCCTGCTGCAGAACAAGATTCGGGACACACAACTGGAGCGGGACCGGGTCCTGCAGAACCTCAGTGAGAACGGCCTTGCCTGTGGGATCCCACCCCTGCAGTGTTGGGCCCCAGTCCCCGCTCCTGCCCAGCTGACTTAGACCCAAAACGTCCACCCCCTGCATGCAAATCTGCCTCTGGTAGAGCTTTGCCATCCCCCTGCCTCTGCTTGAGCCCCTGGGACCCCCAACACCCTGCTTGTCTTGTCATGGGAGCGGAACTAGTCAGTTGAAGAGCTCCTGACCCTGCTGGTGCTGGAGAGGTGACTGGAAAGGATGGCAAGGCAATGCCTCTTCTAACCTTGAACACCACTTCATGACATGTGGGAACACTTGGGGAGACTGAGGTGCTAGAGACCTCGTGGTGTAGCTAGCTGATCTCTGGGCTCAGCAGGGCAGGATCAGCCATGCACATGGCTGTAGCTCTAGGTCTGCGGCTCCTCTCAGCCCAGCTACTGTGCTGTTAACCCACTGTCCCCACGCTGCACTGAGCCTTAACCCATCTCTTCCAGTGGGTCCCCCAGGCAGACCCCAGCCTGTGATAGGGCCAGAGCAGAGGAGTGAGGAAGAGGAGTCTGGCAGGATGGGGAGGGAGCAGTGCCTGGTGCCTCCAGGCAGGGTGTGTAGGTGCAGGAGGAGGCCGGGGGGGCTGCGTGGCCGTGGCAAGCCCTCTCCTCACTCCCCCAGGCACCATGGAGTGCTACACAGAGGAGAAAGCCAACAAGATCAAAGCAGACTATGAGAAGCGGCTGAAGGAGATGAACAGGGACCTGCAGAAGCTCCAGGCAGCCCAGAAGGAGCATGCTCGCCTGCTCAAGAACCAGTCCCGCTACGAGCGAGAGCTGAGGAAGCTGCAGGCAGAGGTGGCTGAGATGAAGAAGGCAAAGGTACCTGGACATGATAGGGCAAGGAAGGTATCCCCTGGTCAAGTCTGGCCCCCTGCTCAGAGGCGATATTTTCCAATCCTGGTGGCAACTGCAAGGACATCTGCCTGTTTGCTGGGTGGGTGCCCTGGGACAGTGCACTGACAGGTGGTACCTTCACATCCCAGGTCGCACTGATGAAGCAGATGCGTGAGGAGCAGCAGCGGAGGCGGCTGGCAGAGACGAAGAGGAATCGGGAGATCGCGCAGCTCAAGAAGGAGCAGCGGCGGCAGGAGGTGAGAGCCCAGCCCACCTGTGCGCCACTGGGCGTCCCAGTCCAGGGGGGAACTGGGCTGGTTGGGGGTGGGTGTTTGTCCTGCTCTGGCACTTCAAAGTGCTCATAAATCTTAGTTGGTGAAGCTCGGGGTCCTGTTGCACCCATGGCCTTGCCAGGGGCCATGCAGCCCCAGCAGAGCACACCTGGCTGAATGGCTCCCCAGGGCTTCCCGCAGCTCCTAGTGTGGTTGTAGAAGATGCTGTGAGCTCCTCGCCATGCTCAGGGGGGCAATGTGCCATCAGGGCCAGTCTTGAGCCTGGGAGCCTACTCGCTGTTAAAATCAGGAGTGAGGTTATTCGTGCAAAAGTAACTGCCCCAAGCTGTGGGGATGGGAGCCCTGGGACTGTGACTCTAGCTGGGGTGTCTGGGCAGGACCCCAGGGGAGTCTCTCTCTTGTACAGTTTCAGATCCGGGCTCTGGAGTCTCAGAAACGGCAGCAAGAAATAGTGCTTCGGAGGAAAACCCAGGAGGTGAGGGCCAGGGGGTGGATGTTTGCCTCCACGTAGCTCCCAGCCCCCATGGGGGTCCTGGCACCAGCGCTTGGCTCAGAGACACACCATCCTCCAGCCAGTGCCAGCTCTCGGAATGGGGTGCCCAAAAGGGTGGGAGGATTTTTATGGCTCATCAACTAGATGGGAGATGGTTGCAGGCAGCAGAGGAATTACCCATCTTGCGGGGCGGCTGAGCCTGGTGGCAGGGGATGGGCTACAAAGGAGAAGGGGGAAACCCATGATGCACAAATGGCCCCAGGGCTTTGTATCTCCAGAGCTGCCACTCTTGGTCCTGCGGGGACCTGGGGGTGACAGTGGCAGGTTTGGGCTGGTGATGCCCATTTGACACCCTCTTCTCTGCCCCTCCTCTGGGCAGGTCTCGGCGCTGCGCCGTCTCGCCAAGCCCATGTCAGACCGGGTTGCGGGCAGGACAAGTCAGAAGCCAGCCATGCTGGACTCAGGCGCAGAGGTCTCGGCCAGCACCACTTCCTCCGAGCCCGAGTCTGGTGCTCGATCCGTCTCCAGCATCGTGCGCCAATGGAACAGGAAAATCAACAACTTCCTGGGAGACCCCTCATCCTCCGTGAACGGGGCTCGGCCAGCCAGGTCAGGGCAGAGGCTGTGTGGCTGGGTGATGAGGCATCCCAGGACTCCCATGTCTGGCTTTTGGCTGGTGGTGAAGGTTGAAAGCCAGCTTCTGATTGTGCATTTGGCCCGTGTTAAACCACTGACCCAGTGACAGGCTGTGCTGGCAGAGTGTGAATGACTGTCACCTGGGCTTGAGCCCAGTGCTGGCCTTCCACGAGCATTAAATGCCATGGCACAAACCCTGCTGGGCTCATCTCTTGTCCCTCTATTTGCTATGGGGTGATGGAAAAGCTGGACAATTTGGAAACAATGCAGATGCCTCCTCTGCTCCTGGCCAGCCAGAGCCCAGGCGTCCTGCTGGGGCATGCACAGCTTTCCAGGCATGGTGCGGCCGATTGCCCAAGTGCTGCTTCTTCACTCTGGCTGTAGGAAGAAGTTCCCCAAGAAGGGGGCAAGCCAGACCTTCAGCAAAGCCGCCCGCCTCAAGTGGCAGTCGTTGGAGCGGCGCATCTTTGACATTGTCATGCAGAGGATGACCATCGTCAATCTGGAGGCTGACATGGAGCGGCTCATCAAGGTGACCATGGCGCTGGGGACAGAGAGGGCTGGGTAGTGGGTGCGAGGCAGGGGGACAGTCATGCCAACAGTGCCAATCCCCCTCCCTTTTCCCCCAGAAACGCGAGGAGCTGTCACTGCTGCAGGAAGCATTGCTGAGCAAGAGGGCAAAACTGCAGGCAGAGAGCCCCAGGGAGCAGAAGGGGCTGCAGGAGCTGAACGAGGAGATTGAGGTGCTGGGGGCCAACATTGACTACATCAATGACAGCATTTCCGACTGCCAGGCCACCATCATGCAGATCGAGGAGACCAAGGTGGGTGGCTGGACTGAGCCCAGCTGGCAGGGAGAGAGCAGGAGCATCCCTGGGAGGTAAGGGCGTCCTTGGGCACAACCAGGCTTGGCACCCCAGAGTCCTCCTCTGAGCTGTGTCACACACTCAGTGGGGGCTGTACCCACACAGTCACTTATGAGATGGCTAATTGTGGAGGGGAGCGCTGCCAAGTCCTTGCACATCCACGGACAGGCTGTTGGTGCCCTGCGCCCCACTGCTTTGGGATTATAGGGAAGCTGCAGCTCTCATCCTGCCCGTGGGGCTGGCAGTCACTTGTCCCCGTGGGAGCTTCATGTGCTGGAGACATCCCGGGGAGGACTGGCTTTCTTTTCTGGCATTAACCTTGCAGATTTTGTGTCCAGTTTTGATGCTGGGCATACCACAGAGATGCTGTGCAGCTCCCGGCTTCCCTCTAGTGGTTGCAGCCCGGGCTGGAGGCTGTGTGTTGTCCTTGGCTTGTCCTCAGCCATCACCTAGATTGGTGGGGAAGAAGGGGCTCTTGTTAACTGACACTAGACTTTGGGCCAATGACCTGATCTGCTGTGGTTTCAGGTGAGGCTGGTACCTGCAGATTAGTGACCAATTCAGTGTTGGCACCAGGATTTCTGTAGCAACACAGGAGCCCTTCAGGTTGTGTTGGCCACCTCCATGGCCAGATCTCCCCAGTAGCCACTTGGGCAGACTAGAGAGCGAGTGTTGGGACTGGACAGTGCTGGCAGGGCGATGGAGGTGCTGTGCTGGCCAGAGATGGGAATTCTGCCCATCCCATGCCCAGTGGCAAAGCTTCCCTGTGGCATCCAATGCCCGTCCCTCCGCTTTTCAGGAGGAGCTGGACTCCACAGACACCTCGGTGGTGATCAGCTCCTGTTCCCTGGCTGAAGCCCGGCTCCTGCTGGACAACTTCTTGAAGGCCTCCATCGACAAGGTGCGGGGCCAAGATGGGACCTGGATGCATGATGGGATTTCTCGCAGTTGGAGAGGGAAGCAGGGTGCCAGGATGGGGACCTGGTGGTAGGGACCCCAGGCACCTGCCTGACGTCTGGCATGGCCATCCTTCCCCAGGGGCTGCAGGTGGCACAGAAGGAGGCCCAGATCCGCCTGCTAGAGGGGCGCCTGCGGCAGACGGACATGGCCAGCTCCTCGCAGAACCACGCCTTCCTGGACGCCCTGCGGGAGAAGGCCGAGTCACACCCCGAGCTGCAGGCCCTGATCCACAACGTCCAGCAAGGTGAGACCCAGGGCTGGGGCATCCTTGGGCCAGGCATGCTGCCTGTGGGGCGAGGTGCCCACCCATGCCAGCCCCCTGAGAAGCACCTGGAGGTGCCATGGCTGGGACTAGCATGCCCAGGGCTGCCCCGACGGTGGTGCTGGGTGGGGACATGTGCTCCAGCCACCACACAACAGGCACGAGGACCAGGTCCCCTGCCAGCAATGGCCTGGGCTGCGCACTCTGCCATGCGGTTCAGATGGGCCTCCATACAATGGGGTCCCCTCTGCGCTGCTGATGTGCTGTCTCCCTCCTGCACAGAGAACGGCTACACCAGCACAGATGAGGAGGTCTCAGAGTTCAGCCTGGCTTCAGATGGGAGGTGAGCACCTGGCCTGGCGCTGCCTGAGCTGGTGGCGGCTGGGAAGGCGACAGGTGGGGTGGGATGTCCAGTGCCACTCATGGGACCTCACAGATGGACATAGACGAACAAAGCCCCACCTAAGCTTTCCTGTGGTGCCCAGCCCTCGGGGAGGGTAGCAGAGATGACTTTTAGACACCAGCAGGGAGTGCAGACTAGGTCATCCCCTGGAGAAAGGGTGCTGGGGAGCACCCAAGGAGTCTGGTGTGTTGGTGGCAACCAGCTCTTTGAAAGAAGCTTGGCACTGAAGATCCATCTTTTCTCTCCTCTCCTTGCAGCATCTCCCAGTCTTTCACCATGAAAGGCTCAGCAAGCCAGGATGACTTCAAGTTCAAGGTTAGTTGGCCTTTCTGTGTGGCCTCATCACAGGGAATGGGAGGAGGGATGGTGGGGCATGTTGTTCAGTGATGATCCAGGCATTTGCTCTGTAGTCTGACCTTTGGAGGGACAGACTTGGTATAGGACCATGTGGCTGGTCTCTGGGTGGGGTCAGCGCTAAGGAAGGGGGAACCAAGGCCTCCTGGTACTGTGGTCGTCTGAAGCACCAGAGACTTAGGAAACATCCACCACATTAGCCAATACCCTCCAGATTTGAGTGGGCACCAAGGAGGTCCCTGTGCAGTGGGCAAAGGTGGAAGAAAGTGCACGTTCTGCACAGGCTGTCACATTTGCTTAGAGCATCGAGAGCTGGCACTGTGATGGGCATTCCACCATGATACAGGGGGAACTCAACCTCCTGTGGCCAGAGAGCACAAGCTTTTCCATGTCACAGCTCTCTGGCTGCTCCTGCTCTCCTCCCCCATGCTACCTGTGCCCTCTGCCCTGCTCTAGGGAGAGCCCAAGCTCTCAGGGCAGATGAAGGCAGTGTCAGCTGAGTGTCTAGGACCCACGCTGGATGTCTCCACCAAGAACATCACCAAGTCCTTGGCATCCCTTATGGAGATCAAAGAGGATGGGATCAGCTTCTCCATCCGAGATTCCTATTACAAGGAGAAGGTGTCGCGCACCATCAGCCTGCCCACGCGAGGAAGCACCTTGTGAGCATGGGGTGATGGGTCTCTGGGCATTGGGAGGCTCATGGAGGCATGGGCCAGCAGGCGGGAAGCTGTGCCCTGGCTGTGCAGTTGCAGAGTGGTGAGGGTGACCCCAGTCCTGCATCTATCCAGGCTTGTCTGCAGCAAGTAGTGGTGGATTTCTCCAGCGGGACTTGGAGAGTGTCTAAGAGTATGTTGGTATCCTCTACAGATGGAGAGAAGGGTACTCCAGGAGGAGGGAAAGAAGGGGGGCGTGCAAGGGTCCCTGACTCACTGCCCTAGGTTATCAGCCTTCTTGAAGGCTTCTTGGGTTGCCAAAAGCCTCCACGCTCATGGGATGACTCAAGGCATCCTCAGAGCTTGTGATTGTGACTCCAGGGCAGCCCAACTTCTCGATTTAGTCTGCTGGGGAAGGACATGGGCATTCAGCATGGAGGATCCCAGCAAGGGGGCAGGCACCCACTGTGCTCTGTTTCACTTGCTTTAGTCCCAGGCAATCTCGTGGCTCAGACACTTCGCCTCTGACAAGGAGGAAATCCTATGACCGTGGACAACCTGCCAGGTGAGTTTGGGAGCTGGAGAAATGGTGACATGGGCAGGGAGAGGCTGAGCGTTCCAGACGACTGGGGAGAGATGCTGGCTGGACCAGCACTTGCTGGTGTGCCGGGCAGCTGCCGGGTGAGCTGTTCCCAAGTCATGTGTCCCTCTAATCCTTCCTGGCTCAGGCCTCCAGATGTTGGCTTCACACCTCCCTCATCCCCACCCACCCGTCCACGCAACGACCGCAATGTCTTCTCTCGTCTCACAAGCAACCAGAGCCAGGGGTCTGCCTTGGATAAGTAAGTCCTGGTGGGGCGGGAGGGTCTGAGTGAGGGGGACCCATACGATAACAGCAAATGCCATGTACCAGGTCCCACGGTGGAGTGTAGAAGCGTAGGACCTGGGTCGGCTCAGCCAGCCTCCTGCCACCATTTTCACTCGCTGCTCCTCTCCGTGAGGGAGCAGATGCTCTGCAAGGGCCGTGCTGAACCCTTGCCCTGTCCTGCCTGCTGTGTGTCCCCTCCGAGCTTGCTGTCCTCGCCGCTGGCTAAGTCCTACTTGGAGAGAGGGCAATGCCAGGCTTGGACCACTGGAAAAGGATATGGAGCAGGATGGGGGCTCACAGGAAGCTGATGGACTGCCACCAACCCACAAATGCTGCTCCAGCCTCCCCCAGCCTGCAGCAGGTTGGGTAGCTGCCCTCAACTTGGAGCATTGCTAGCACCGCTGACGTTCCCTGATGGAGACCTGCTGTCTGATCCTCACATACCCTCCTGCGCCTCTGCTCTCTCCCCTGGTTCTCCACGTGTGCTTCTCTTTCTCCCTCCCCTCCTCCTTCTCTCTGTCCTACACTGGCTTGGATGCAATAACAATCCTCCACCTCTGACTCCTCTGCTGCCTCTTCTAGTCTGGGTTTTCTCTCCCATAATCCTGCTAATTTTCTGCCCCTAGGTCTGATGACAGCGATTCCTCTGTCTCGGAGGTGCTGAGGTATAGACAACTTTCTATTTATTATCCCTTCCTCCTCTCCTCCTTCTCTCTGTCTCACGAGTCTGCTCTCCCTTGTCCCTGCATGCTCCACCTGCACCTTGCTGCTCTCCCCCACCTCCCAGCTTGTGTGTGCTGTCCCCTCTCAGCATGCCACCTCCAGTGTCTGGTGCTGTTCCCTCGGTTGCAAGTTCGAACCGTTCTTGCTCTGATTAGCCCTTAGAAATATGGCACTCGGCTCACCTACGGGCACTGACTGGTTTGGGGTGGCAGCATGTTCTCCTCCAGCTCTGATGGGCCCTTATCAGCATGACACTACCATGTCCCATATGGTTTCCCAGCTCTCCAGCAGGACGGTGTGATGCTGGGGCAGGGGGCAAGCAGCCCTGCATGCTCCCAGTGTGTCCTCCGTACAAGCAACTTCCAGGCAAATATCTCCAGGTGCTCCCCACACCTGGTTGTGCTTCCCTGGTGCTGGGTGGTGGGTAGGTAGATCTCTTTCCCAAAGAAACCAAGCCAGACTGTGGTGCAGAGCACAGCCTTGGGGTTAAGGTGCTCCTGGGCTTGTCCCACTGCACCCTCCTGCCTATGAACATTTCCCAACATGAGGGCCACCTTTTCCCCATCCTTTGGGAACATCAGCCCTCCAGCACCCGGGTGTCCCCTCACACCTGAGTTCACGCAGGTGCCCAGTCACTGAAGAGGTGGCACCAGAGGAGTCTGTGCTGGAGCCTCTGTCAGTTTGTCACCTCGGGCAGTTTGCAGTCAGGCAGCAATGCAAAGTCCATCGATAACATCTCACCCTGGGGAGCCAGGATTTCTGTTTAGATTCAGTGTCACCTAAAGGCTGGTAGGAACACCAGGGGTCAGGGAAGGACTGTTTAACTTGAGTTTGTAAGCACAACTGCTGAGAAAGAAAGATCACGTGATCAGGTGATTTCCAAACCCAAATAATGAGTCTGTGTTTGTCCTCACAAGTAACACAAACCTTACGTGGCCTCGGGCCTGCCCTTCTCCAGCCCCGTGCCTCAGTTTCCCTGCCTATAAGAAGAGACTAGCACAGCCCAGGGCCCCACAGCCATGGGGAGGCTGTGCTTTGTGGTGCCAGCTGGAAGGAGCTGTTGGTGGCCGTGCACGCTCAAGTCTGGAAGGGTAATGGCTGTCGGTCCTTGGCACCCCGAGCACTGCTGAAAAGGAGAGGATTGTCAGATGCTGTGTCCAGAGGGACAGGCAGCAGGTGTCCCTGGGAGGAAGATTTGGAGCCCAGAGCCAGTGGTGGGTGCAGGGCTTCCACAGCCATTGCAACAGGGACACTGAGTGCAAAAGCCGGGACTTTTGTTACCCTTCTGTAAAGGAGCGTGGTCCTGCCTCTGAATGTCACCAGCCACAGGCTGACAGCCTCGGAGGAACTGGGGTGTTGGATATTGGTACCCTGAAACATTTATCCTAGCAGAGCTTCAGGCTGGAGAAGGTGCAGTTTGTCCCAAGCAGACCTGAGGAGCTGGGCCTCCTGGCTCCTCGGGTCTGCACTGGTCAGGCATGAGTTTTTTTCACCATGCAGCGCCCCCCTTTCCTAGTCTGTATTGCTGGGGTAGAGGCAGTAGGCAGGGATTGCTCCTGGGGAGGGAGATTCCTGGGGTTTCCATGAAGACCTTTGCTCAGACGTGCTGCATTCAGATGGAGGGGCCCATTGCACTACCAGGCGGTGGTAGGTGCTTGGGGTGAGCTCTCCCGTGCCCCTGGGACGTTGCAGTGCGGTGCCTTTCCACACACACCCCACCGTGCTTGTTCTTTCTTTTCTACGCAAGGGGCATCATTAACCCGGTGGGTGGCACCAAGAATGCCCGGACAGCCCCGCTGCAGTGTGTCTCCATGGCAGAAGGACACACCAAGCCTGTGCTCTGCCTGGATGCCACCGATGAGCTGCTTTTCACTGGGTCCAAAGGTGCGTGATGGACAGAGAGGATGTGGGGGTTGCTGGCCTGCAGAGACTATGGGGGCAGGTTGGCACAGGGGGATACATGAAGTGCCAGACATCGCGGGGATGGTTCCTTCTGAGCCTCTTTCCTGTCCTCGGTTTTGAGCCTTGCCCTGCGCTGCCCTGGCTCTGGGGCTGGCTGGCTCCTTTCCTCTGGCCCTGTGGGTGGGGGGAGGCAATGCTGAGAAGATTATGGCCCTCAAGCCATCATGCCCTCGGAGGGAGACATACACACGCACACACACAAACACCCACACGCACACGCACACCCCCGCAGCCTGACACTCCTGGGCACGTTCTTCCTCCTGCAGACCGGAGCTGCAAAATGTGGAACCTGGTGACGGGCCAAGAAATTGCTTCCCTCAAGGGTCACCCAAACAACGTGGTTTCCATCAAGTACTGCAGCCACACGGGACTGGTGTTCACTGTGTCTACGTCATACATCAAAGTGTGGGACATACGGGATTCGGCCCGGTGCATCCGCACCCTCACGTACGTGGCAGGCAGGAGCAGCCGTGGGGGACCGTGCCCTCTCTGGGCATCTCTGGCTTTGCAGAAGCCAGTCCCAGGATCTACTGGGGCTGGAAGGTCAAGGACTAGCTACCTCAGTGCCAGTTAGCAGTGCTGCATCCTCAGGGAGCAGGGAGACTGGGAGAGAGTTTGGGGTGAGGGTACCCGTGGGGACCTCCTGCAGCGAAAGCTGAGGGTAAAGAGCTTTGCAGAGATTTGCAGCCACTTCTGGGCATGGCCACGAGAGCCAGCAGCTCTGTAGAGAAGGCACAGCCCCTAGCAGCATTATGGCTGAGTAAATCACAGGCTTTGCAGTGGGAAACTCAGATTTTTAGGAGGAGTTTGGGGACAAGAAGGGAGCATGGGCCAGGCTGTAGCTGTGGTCGGCCAGTCTGGAGCAGAGCTCCAATGATAGAAGAGTATGGCAGGCCAGGGTTACCAGCTCACTCCAGCCCAGAGCTCCTTCTCCATCCAGCCTCAGCTCATCTACCTTGTCTTGAAGGTGCTTCTCCCTTGGTGCAGAGGCCAATTACCTCTGCCTCCCTGTGCTGGCTGCCAGCACTAGCCAGCTCTCCTGCAGAAAGCAAAGAGGAATGGGAGGAGAGAAGAGCAGCCCTCAAACAGAAACCAGGGCAGGATGCCCTGTGTCATGTACACACCTGGCACCCTTGGCTCCCTCTGCAAGCAAGGCACTGGCCATGGGGACAGAAGCCTTGTTGAGCCCATTGTGGCCAGAGAGATGATGATACCTCTATGGCCTTTCCCCAGTGCAGGACCCACCTGTGCCAGCCTGGAGCCAACAGCCCCGTGTGGTTCTTCAGTGACTCTGATCTCTGCTCATCCTGCCCCCTTGGCTTCTCTTTTTTTTTTACAGGTGATCTCCGGGGATGCATGTGCTGGGACCACCACCCGCACTGTCACCAGCGTGCAGGGGGAGCACCAGATCAACCAGATCGCTCTCAATCCCACTGGCACCATGCTCTATGCTGCCACGGGTAACTCCGTCCGCATCTGGGAGCTGAGCAGGTGAGGGGGTAGTGCTGGGGTGGGCAGGACAGCTTACAGATGCTGAGTGGACACTGCCTGCTCAGAGCGGCCTGAAATTGCTCCCCCCAGGGAAAGTTAAAGCCTTTTTAGCAATGGAAGTTGCCTGGAATAAGGACTTTCAGGACCTTTTCCTGTGGGACCGAAGCAGTGATGAACAGCAACGGAGCTACTGGGGGTGGGGGGGTTTGTCTGTGAGCTGGGCAGAGCTTAGGAGAAGGGGAAAGACATGTGGCGTGAGCAGCAGTACCCCCCTGGTTTGGCTGTTGCCCCCCTCCCTGCCAGGTGGACACTGGGCTGCTGACCCCTTGCTGCAGCCTGGGCCATGTGGCCAGATGCTGGCGTGCCCCGAGGCTGCCTTCCTCCCACAGCATCACTAGGAATCACTAGGAAGAGAGGTGTCCCTGCTCACAGTCCTCCGAAAGGAGCAACCCCTATGGGGGAGCTCCAGGGCCTGGGAGAGCCCCTTGGAGGAGCTTCAGCCCTTGGAAAGGGGCTGGCTGACCCGTATTATTGAACTCAGGTTGCAGCCCATCGGGAAGCTGAGTGGCCATATCGGGCCTGTGATGTGTCTCACGGTAAACCAGACGGCGAGCAACCACGACCTGGTGGTCACAGGCTCCAAAGATCACTACGTCAAGGTACTCTTCTCCTTAGAGAGCAGAGCCCTCTATCCCAAGGGAAGCCCAGATGTTGGCAACCCCTAAGGTCTCTTCTCTCCTCCTGACATCTGAGCCCAGTTCTCCTCGCCAATACAGATGCTTTGTGCCTGCTCATTCACGACTCCAGCACAGCAAGAGCTTGCTCCTCCCTTTTAGGTTTCTGCTGGTTTTTAGCAAGTTGAATTGGAGCTGGCACCAGGGGAGTGAAGAGGGGTGGTGAGATAATGAGGGAGGCAGGATCCTGGTCTGGCTGCTGCAAGCTGTTAGCTTGGCTCCTGGAGGTGTGTGAAAGCTCACCTTGAATAAAAATGCAGCAGAATGGGGGCTGCCTCTGGAGGCAGACCTCCACTGATGGTGGCAGGACCCCTAGAGAGACTTTGGCCCCCAAAAAAGCTTCCACTAGACAATGCCCACTTCTCTTTCCAGCATCACTCTGGGTGCCCTGAGCCTAGAAAACAGTGTGTGATGCTCTCCAAGAGAGAGTCCACTCTGTTTCCAGTGCCATCTGGGATCTTTCACCCCCTATTCTTCCCCCAGGTGTTTGAGATTGCTGAGGGCATGGTGGGCAATATTAGCCCCACTCACAATTTTGAGCCCCCTCACTACGACGGCATCGAGTGCCTGGCCATCCAGGGAGACATCCTCTTCAGCGGATCCAGGGACAATGGCATAAAGAAGTGGGATCTGGAGCAGCAGGAACTTATCCAGGTCTGGAGGGGAGCATACGGCACAGGTCCTCGGGGTAACAAGGGGTGGGGAAGTATTGCTGCTGGGGGTCTGGGGGGACCCTTGTTCAGGGACCTGGTGCCAATGTCCTGCCCTGAGCTAACCAGGGAAGGCACTCCCATTCCTGGGAATCTGGCAGTGCATGTGTGAGGTGGTTCTGTACCCTCTAAGTTTGTGCTGTAGGGCACTCGGGATTGCCAGCTCCCCACCTGGCACACAGGTTGCGGCATCAGCTGCAGAGCTGGGTGTTGTCTCCTGCTGGGTTCCTCTCTGAAGGCAGGATTGTTGTCTCCTGCCCCAGAGACAAATCAAGCCCAGACTTTTGAATCTATCCCTTTGGCCTCCTAACTTTGCATAACTAGCCCCATGATCCAGATCAGCCCTGGGGCAGCAGTGAGGGTCTGAGCCTCCCAGGTTGGCTGCCTGAGGTGGTGGTGCTGCAGATGAGGTTGGTCATGATCTCTGCTCTGTGCCTGTACCTACAGCAAATCCCTAATGCCCACAAAGACTGGGTCTGTGCCCTGGCCTTCATCCCTGGCCGCCCCATGGTGCTGAGTGCTTGCCGAGGAGGCATGATCAAAGTCTGGAACGTAGACAACTTCACCCCCGTTGGGGAGATCAAAGGGCACGACAGCCCTATCAATGCCATCTGCACCAACTCAAAGCACATCTTCACTGCCTCCAGGTGAGCCCTGGGCTTTCTGTTCCCCAGAGCCCCTGGGAGGTGGGAGAACCCTGGGTTGAACTTTCATCCCTGGGCCTGGGTGGGTTTGGTCTGAGTGGACAGAGGGCAGGGAGGGAGGGAAGGGGGGTCTCTCACAGCTTTCTAGTCTGTCCTCTCCTTCATCTCATCTTGCCCACCTTAGCCCGCCCCATGACACGGCCTGCCCACTGCAGTGCCAGGAGCTGTTCCCCCAGCCATCCCCTACCCATATTCTGGTGATGCCCTGGGATATCCCCCACGCAGGGACCCCTCTCCCCCGGGGCTGGTCACCCTCTGCTGCTCTTGGGGAGCTCTTTGGCAGCAAGACTCTGATGTCCTCTTTTCGCCCATGTCCCTTTTCTCCCTTCCTTTTTCTCTGTCTCTCTCTATCTCCTCTCCTCCCCACCTCCCATCTGTGCCACAGCGACTGCCGGGTAAAGTTATGGAATTACGTGCCTGGGCTCACCCCTTGCCTTCCACGACGCGTCCTTGCCATAAAGGGCCGTGCTACTAGTCTGCCTTGACCCTCCTGCTCTTTCTGACTGTCTTGCTCATGCACTCTTCTTCTGTCTTTTCTTTCTTTTTCTCTTTTTCTCCATCTCTTTTTCCCTCTGTCTTTCTCTCTGTTGCTTGCTTGTGCTTCTTTCTCTCTCTTTTTCTTTCTTTCTTTCTCTCTGGTCTGAGCTGCTCCTTCACGGTATGAAACTATTTTGCGTTTTTCCCACTTGTTAAATCTTTGCTAGAAGTGACTTGCCCCTTTGTCCCAGCCATACCACCACGTTGTTTTGGTTTGCCTTTTTTTTTTTTTTCTCTTGCCAAGTGCCCACATCTACTGTGGCAGCTCCGTGGAAGTTGTGACCTGCCTGCACCCTTGCATGGATGGTGGGACGGGAGTCAGCAGCCACCCCTGAAGCAGCCCATGCCCTGGGGAGACCAAGCATAGCAGCTCCCTGCGGTGTCAACCCGTTGACCTAGCTAGAGCTCATTCAAGGGATGCAGGCATCCTGTTGTTGGGGTCAGCCCTGGAGGTCACCATTTCCCTTTGTCCCCAACTGCGCCAGTGGGGTGAGCTGGAGGCTGAGCCCCATTGGGCCTTGCCTGCTCCCCAAAACAGATTGGGAAACCTCCTGTCAAGGGAAAAGGGCCTGGATGTTTTGTGGGCTGCATGCTGCCACGGGCTGGGGGTGGGGAGCGTTTCTTCTCGCGGTGCAGCGGGCTCCTCTGCAGCACGTCTGCGGGGCTCCTGCAGGAGCCCGTGGCTCACACCATCCCTCTCGCCTTTGTTTCTCAGTGACTTGACAGTGAAGCTTTGGAGCGGGAGGAGGTTACCCACGGGGTCGAACTAGGAACTGCAAGAAGACTGGAAGACTTGACAGGAGGGTGAAAGTCAGGTTACCTCTCCCTTGCTATCAAGACCTGGTCATCTATAGGAGCTCAGCCCAGGGACAGGGATTTCTTTGTGCCTGACATGACAGCGTGGATGATGTCCCACCTGGTACTTTGAGCACTGCCAGCTCCTGTGAGGAGGCAGCTCCATGGGGCACCGTCAGCTCCACCTTCCCTCCTGCTGAGATTTCTTGATGGTTTTCCAGTGACCAGGAAATGTTTCATCTGTCTTCTCACCCACCCTGCTGTAACACCTGCCGGGACTTCTGGGGGTCAGAGCTTCTTGTCTCCTTCTGAGAGACACTCAATTCCCTCCTGCCACTGTGGGCTCATGTGGCCTCCACCCTGATGTCCTCCTTCTGTCCCTGTTGGCTCCGGGGCTGGTTCCTGCAGGAGTCTTTCTCCACTCCATGGCCACAAGGAGTTTTGGTGTCTGATGGACAGGACCACAGCATAGAGGGGCTGCTTCTTTGGAGATGTTACTCGTGGGACAGCCTCTCTGCTGTGGAGGGTCTCCAGAAGGATTTCCAGGTAATCCCATCGTTCCCCATCCTCAGTCTACCTGTCCTCAGCCGTTGGAGGTGTGCATCTCTGAGCTCCTTTGCCATGTCCCAGCTCTGGAGGCACAGCAAGCCTGGGAAGATCTCAGTCAGGCAACTTCCAGACTAACTGACTGCAGTTCCTTTTGATGTTCTCCAAACCCCAGTTGTAAACTCAGCTGAGCCGTGGCTCTTGGGCTCTTCCCTGTGTGCCCACCCTGCTCTGCAGTGGAGAAGGGAAGGGCTGGTTAGTCCTGCTATTGACACCTTGGCCCTCAGCAGGGGTTTTGAGGTGGGTTCCTGCAGTACATTAACCTCCTTGAGATGGAGAAACAAAGCAAGAATGGAGGTTACAAGGCAAAGAAGCCAGGGCTTAATTGGTCACCCTGCACCTGTGGCCCATCTTGTTTTGCCATCGCTGGAAGCTGTAAATCCTTCCCCCAGGCTCAGCTCTCAGCCCCTCTGCCTGGGAGGGGGCTAGCTCAGGTTTGGCCCCTCGGCCCCTGTGAATCTGGGAGCCAGAGAGGGCCCAGCAAGACATGGAGCAGCTTGAGAACAGGCCAGGTTGGAGTCAGTTGTGCCAGGAACAGGGTGAGGAAGGGGTTGCACACACTGGTCTCACACAAGTCCCCTGATTCACCCCATGCTTGAAGGACAATCCTGCAGTGGATGATCTTGCACAGTCCAATCTCCATGAAAGTCTGGGGGCTCCATCCGGGAGTCTTTCCTTAAGGATGCAGATTCTCCAGGCTCCCTCTCTCCTGTTCAAGGGGTTGGCAAGGCCTGGTCTTACACTGGAGCTTTCCTCCATCTCTCCTGTGGCCCGTTGGACTATCTCGTGCCCTGTCCAGGCAGGGCTTCTCATGGGGTGGCTGAGGAGACCCTGGGACTGGTGCTCTTGCCTCATATGCTTTCACTTCCCCTCGGTCACAGAAGAAGCAGTGTTTGAACTCAAATTTAAGGACTTTTCCACGTGATCCCACTAGCACTGAACTGGGATCTCCAAGGCCAGGGGCTCCAGGACCTGCCCTATAAAGCACGGACCGTTTTCCCTCTGCTTTCTCCAGCCACGGTGACTTGTGGACCAGCCCCAGATCATTTGCCACCAGCCCTTGTTAAAACCATTCTAGGTGGAGCATGGGAATTCCTCCACATCCTGAAAGACAGGACCATCTCTATTGATTTTGATGGGGAGGTT